GTCATGTTGTTTAGTGGTACATCAGTACAATGTAGCCATTTTGTAGAATCCCGATTCAGACAATGTGTTTTGTTTGGACTTGAGATGCTATGGGAATGGTGTCACCTTCAGGCACCACAGTTATGCTATCTGGGTCTATTCAGCTCCTCATATAGCACATCAGGCAGCTAACCAAAAATCTTGTTCTTAGTACACAAACTTCATTTGAAATTGTACCAATTTCTGTTCAATGCACACACAAGATCGAGAAAGGTCTCAAATGTACCAGTACTACCCAGAGTAAGATAGGAAACTTCTTCTCTAGGAAAACAGATATATATAAAATACTAGTTCAATATGTGTCGGCATGGGTTAATTTATGTGGTTGTATAGTTCCGGTGACTTTTGTTGAAGTATGGATCCATGTAAGAAATATCCACTTCTTGAATACTGCATGAAATAGATTTCACATTTATTAGGTAAATGGAACATAAAAGCTTTTTTCAAATCATAAAAAAATGAATTATATAATATTTTCTTTTTGTATTTAAGTAAAGATGACGTGAAGGCACAATCCACCTTAGAACCACTATGCAAGAAGCTCAAGATTTATCCTGATAGCCACGGTTCATGTGAGATGCTGGGACAAAAATTAATAGGCCAAATTGCCCATCAAAGCATAACTCTTCACTGGATTCAGTAAAGTTTCTGTCCAGTTCGTCTTTGCCTGATGTTCACCAGGAGCATAAAGTAGTATGTTTGACAGAAAAGTGGTGTCCTCCTGAGGACATTCATTTTCCAATTACAAACAAACACAAATATAGTCCAACATGTGAAAATACTTACCCATGGTTGAAGTATTCTGTTTCTACTGATTTTGCTTTTTGTACCAACTGTGTTTTATTTGATCTAAAGCATAAATATCAACAGTTTGGAAACACTGGTTTCAGTGGCTGGAAGTGTGCTATGGGACACGATAAGAGAATCATGATACAGTCCCACAATCAAAGTGAAAGACACAAGATAAGATACGGTTCAGTTTGAGCCAAGCATATAAAAACAGTGTTGAGAGTAACCGAGCAGCATTACTCTCAATAACTGATAAATTCTTGCACTTGCCCAGAGAAATATAATTTTCAAGGGGAACTGGAATACAGAGTTACATGAAAAAGATGGCAACTTCAACTTTTTAATCAAGTGAAAATCAAAAGTTGACAAAGCTTTACAGTTGTGCCTTGAAACAGCTCCAGCTAATGTTTGCTATATGTCGCCAAAAATTCAAAATAAATTGTTGAATGCATTGAAAAGAAGATATGACAGCGAATCAGACTTAAGACAGACAGCTCGGCATTTTTGAGCATAATGGCAGACAAATCATGTGATTGTTTAACCCAGGCTCAGTTGGCAATTTTAGTGCAATATCTTTTTGAAAATGAAGTTCATGAAGACTTTATTAACCTTGAAAGCACAGATGCTGCAACTATGTCACGTGCAGTGTTGTCTGCCTTGGAAAACTGGGGTTTTGATCTTACAAAACTTCGTGGTCAAGGGTATGATGAGTGCAGTACTATGAGCGGTGAATTAAAACAAAGAATTCAAGACAGATACTTGACTTCGACCTGATTGACGAAACTGAGCAATACCTCTTCAGCACATCATCTAGAGTATCTATGCCTCGTCTTTCTGAAACTAGGTGGCTATCTAGGGTGGATACTTTGACATGGCTTGTAGAACACTATGAAGATACGTATGCATCACTTGAAAGAATTCGTGATGAATCTTCGGGTGATTCGTCATCAAATGCATCTTCATACTTGAACTCTCTTGGCAACATTGAGTTCATTGTGTCAGTTGTGATTACACAGTTTATCTTGGGTTACATGTGTTCTCTCTCTGTGTCACTGCAATCAAACAAGTGCAATTTGACTGAGGCACAAACAGATGCTAGAAGACTGGTCAACATCATGCAGTCAAGGAGGTCTGATGCTATGTTCTTGAAGATAATGGACAGGGCAACTATCATTGTACACACTATTGGAACAACTCCATCCCTTAAAAGGCATACCTCAGTCCAAAGACATTGAGCAAACACTGAGCTAGAATCAACTAGTAATGCCATAGAGGACTATTATCATGTCAATATGTTATACCCTTTTCTAGAACATTCAGTACCTGAACACAAGGTTCCCACACAAATTGAAACCAGCACTATGGGGTTCATATCTGACCCCTATATATCAAGACAAGCTTGATGCTGAAATAATAAACACAATGAAGAAGGAGTACCAATAGGATTTGTCCACAACAAGTTTTGAACAAGAGGTTGACAACTGAATTGAGAAATATAGAAGAATTCCATATAACCAGTACCTAACACACTGGAAAAAAACATTCAGGGAATGTTCACCAACTTTCTTCCCAAACATCTATACTATAATAAATCTATTGCTGACACTTCCGGGTTGGATCATGTTCATGTGAACAATCTTTCTCCATGATGAAATTGATCAAGACAGTGGATGGGACAGATTTTGTGGTCTCGCAATGACCTATACACACACACACACACACACACACACCAAGACAGTATTATGCAAAACATTGAGCCACAAGGGCATCTTGAAGCATTTTGATTCATCTGGTCACAGATGCATCAATCTTGCCTTCAAGACATGATAATTGTACTGCAATATCTGAACAATACATACTGCCCCTTTCATTAATTAAGGCCTACTCATTATCCATCAGAAACAATGCATATTAAAGTTTCAAGAAGTTGTTTTAAATTTTGGCCCTTTAATAATAAAAACTGCTCTTCAACATCTTATATGTAATGAGCACAACTGTAAAAAGACAGTCAAATTGCATCTATTATTGTAATATGGTGATGCTACTCTGGTTTTATTTGCAGATATAGGTATTACTTATCTTGATATTACATGATGTCAGCTGTAATGGGAAACCTTGTTCTTTTTTGTTTGTTTCTTATTTGTTTTTCTTGTTTTTTTTTGGTTAGGAATAATGTTTTCATTGACTGTGGCTATACTTTGGTAAATATATCAAATCAAAACATAACGAACAAAAAGAGAAACTATATTTTGTGTACATAATCCTAGAATCTGGTCCTTTTGTTATCTATACATGAAATAAAGAATATCACCATCTTAAAATGCTTGTATAAACTACCCGAGTGGCACAAATTAATGGAGGGAATGTACTTACAAGCTAATATAAATGTTTATGTACTACATATAGCCTACTGTGTGATAATGTTAAAAAATGATCCATGATAAATGCTTGGACGTTTACGTGTCTTTTTTTTTTTCCTTCCAAAATCTGGTATGCATGTATATATTCAATCATTCTACTGACAATAAATGTATACCTGGCTTGTATGTACACTTGAACAATCTGTGAGTAGAGTATAAATTGAACAAACCAAAAACCCTCCAAGAACTGCATAGAATGGCTGTGAGAGGGCTCAAATTTCAAGAACAATTACAGCTAAAACAACAGTGCTCCCCAACTGATTGTAATTTTTTGCCTCAATAAATTTATATCTCTGGTTACAGCCATGGTATCCTCTGACATGTTCAAACATAACTATTACTTGAAAGCTATTTGTTACACTATACACAAACATGAGCAACTGCAAAATTTATTCCAGGTGGGGCAAGCCATCGCAGAGCACAGGCTATTTGTCTTGAAGTTTGAATGCAATGCTCTTGTTGATTATGGCTTACTTATATGAACTTAATTTCATCATTTATAATTAAACAGTACTATTTTCTAACATATTTTATAAATAAATTATTCAAATAAATTTTCTTCTCAAATTCCAGAGGGGTGACAAATGCTCCCCTCTTTTCCCCATCCTGCAGATACCCATGTACACAACTATATAGTTTCTCCCCAGTATTTGTTCTCTGATGTGCTTTATCCTATATCTTTTCAACACCTCTTTATAGCTACTCCCCAGTGTGTACCCTCTGATGTCTTTTAAGATGACCGTTACTTCTAAACTCTCTATCACACACTGCACAACTGTATTGTTTCTCTCCAGTATGTATCCTATCATGTACTTTAAGCTGCCTATTACTTCTGAATTTTTTACCACATACAACACAACTGTACGGTTTTTCTCTAGTATGAACTTTCTCATGTTCAGTAAGATGACTATTACTTCTGAATTTTTTATAACACACTGCACAACTGTATGGTTGTTCCCCTGTGTGTATCTTTTGATGTGTTTTAAGATAACTATTTCTTGCAAATTCTCTACCACACTCTACACAACCGTAAGGTTTTTCCCCAGTGTGCAACCTTATGTGTTCTTTTAGGTAATAATTACTTCCAAATTCCTTTCCACACATAACACACCTGTATGGTTTCTTCCCAGTATGTACCTTCTCATGAGCTTTAAGAGTACTACTCCTAACAAATTCTTTGCCACACACCATGCAACTGTAAGGTTTCTCACCAGTGTGTAACCTCATATGTTCTTTCAAGTAATAACTACTTCCAAACTCCTTGCCACACATACTACATCCATATAGTTTCTCCCCAGTATGTACCTTCTCATGTGCTTTAAGTTTACTACTCCTAACAAATTCTTTCCCACACACAACACAGTTGTATGGTTTTTCCCCAGTGTGGATCCTTTGATGAGTTGTAAGATGACTATTACTTCTGAATTCTTTACCACACACAACACAACTGTATGGTTTCTCTCCTGTGTGTATCATCTGATGTGTTTTAAGATAACTACTACTTCCAAATTGTTTGCCACACTTTACGCAACTGTATGGTTTCTCCCCAGTATGTATTCGCTGATGCGTTTTAAGATTACTGTTGCTAACAAACTGTTTACCACACACTACACAACTATATGATTTCTCCCCAGTATGTCTCCTCACATGTTCTTTTAAGTGATAATTTCTTCCAAATTCCTTGCTACACACAGGACATTTGTATAGTTTATTTCCACTTTGTGAAGATTTTTGTCGTTTTTGTCTATTTACCCTTGAAGATATTCTGTCAAACCCATCACCACTGCTCGATTCCAGGAATTTGCAGTTTTGTGTCTTTGTGAAAGTAGATTTTTGTGATGAAATATAATATCCAGAAAGCTTCTTTTCCTCATCGTTGTTCGAATGGTCTACAATCAACAGATAGATCCAAACAAATATAGTAATTACTAAGAATATCTTACAAAAATCTAATAACTTCTTAAATATTTTTATAGTGACTTAACAGAATAACTTTAAAAATGTACCAATACATTTGTATATTATTGTAATGGCTCCTATTATTGGGCAAGTTCTTATTCAGTACTATGTGCTGAAAATAAGAATACAAAGTCCAGTCAATATCATAATAATGAATGCATCTTATATCTTTGTAAGTTCTACAAACTAAATACAGGTTAGCTTAAGTAATGTTTGTGATAGGCATAACATCACAGTTATTGCTGATTTGCTCTTATAGACTTTCTTATATTTCTAGTACTTTGTTGAAACACAAACTTAATATTGGGAAAACTCAAAAGTGAATAACAGCTCAAAAGAAAAACCCTGAACTTTTTAAGAGCCCCAATAAACAGCATAGGAACGAGATGTGTGATCCTAAAAAGACATTAAAAACAAAATATTTTGTGATAACTTTCTAGACAGAAAATTTAAAAAATCTCTTTTAATTTAATCCTAACACCCTTCCAATAGTAGATACAGGTACACCTGCTGTAATTTTATAACATGGATTTGGATTTACACAATTTATTTTTAGCACCAGATATGCTACAACAAGTTGCATAATTTGGAGTTATGTGGATTTCAAATACAGAAAAAATTTAAAAATATAAAAAAATGTGAAACAAACATGCAATTACCCTGCAAAACAATCATGTCAATTCTGTGACAAAGGTTATGTAGATGAAACCAGAAGAAGCATTGACATGAGAGTTTCTGAACATAAAAAAAGATATAAAATATGGAACTCAAAGCAATGTCACTTTTCTTCATATTAGAGAATCTGGTCATCAAATCAGTTGGAAATCAACGATAATTTTATACGAAATGGATAACTACATAAAAAGATGAATTGTCTAAAGTTGCTTAATCAAAACTTTGCCCAATTTGAACACCTCCCAAGATCACTTTAAGCTAAATGACTTCCTGACCTAAGAACAGTGGTCACATAAGCGTTTGCTGACCAGTTTTTTCTGCCAGAAGATAATATCGGACTGAAGAGGATGCACGAATGTGTTAAAACTAGTTTCTCTGATTTCAGACTTTTGACAGTTCATTCCGCTTAATGTGGTTTTTTTTTTCACTAATTTCTACACACAATATTGTGTTATTTGTCTTCAAATGAAATGTCTTGCTTGTAATATTTGTTTCTTTTCATTAATACATATCAATACATGTTGTAAAAGTGGTTTATATCATTAATAAAACTGACTTTAAGAGAAAAATAATTTTGCAGGAATGCATCCCTTACTTATAACATTGTTCCTATGGGAAAACCTGCATATTATAACGCAAGTTTGTATAATATGCCATTTTTAGGAACACATTCTGTGCATTATAGCAGGTATACCTGTACAATACCTGACCTCTATAGTACTGTTACTATTTATTTACTTTTATGATCTGTGACTAACCAGTTCAACAATACTTTAGTATGCTTCACCAGGCACCGTTCCAATATATTATTGCAGTTTTATAGTGACTATCATTTAAGATCAGTTTTGTTATCTGTAACATTCATAGACCCTTGAAAATGATGTAAGCCTAAACATCAGATTGAAAATATATTTATCTGAAGATGTTTGGCATCCTCATTGAAAAATAAAAAATCACATTAGGTTTTCTGCATTGATTAAATGAAAAAAAAACACATTAGGTTTTCTATATTGATTAAATGAAAAAATAAAAAATCACATTAGGTTTTCTGTATTGATTAAATGCTTTTGATTAAATCATAAAATTAGAGGAAGATTTCCAAACTTTTTCACATTCTGTTCATTCACATGATATTCAATTTACAAAACAAATAAAATTCTAACCATAACATCAGAAAACTCAGTGAAATTTACAGCTTTTTCAATGCTGCCATGACATATATAGAAGTTTTAATTTTCTATGTTATTTGTGACACTTCTGTTTCAGTTATTGATGTCATCAATTAAATTGTGTATCAGTAATATTCAAAAAGTTAAAAATGAACAATGCGCATTACACTATCATACCTAAAGAAATGCAGTAAAAAGTTTAAACAAATTATTTTGTGTGGTTTTCTTATTTTTTTATTAAAGCTGAATTACAAAGATGAAAATAAACAGTTCCCCCTAAACTATTTTGATGGTCAATACTATACTTTAAACTATAGTACAAACTTTTACCTTAAAAAATTTTACATTTGCTTTGGTCTGTTACAGCAATCTACAATATTCAATAATAACTGATATCTCAAATTAAGCAGGTGAGGTGACTGTATCAGTAACTATTCTATTTATCTATCAGTCTTTGATATGATTCACAGGAAAAATTAACAAATATAATGGTGATTTTTTTCTTTCATATTTGATGTATTTCATAAAATGCCAAATAGTGAGTTAAACATTTTACAAATGTTTCATTCTCCATACATTGACACTATATGCCTGCATTAATATCTATCATGTATTTATGTGGATAGCAATAAGCATTTCTTATGTCTCTGGAAGAAATAACTCTTTGGAAATGTAGCCAAATGTTCAAACAACCTTCTCCTTCCTTGGCAAACATACTATCACATTCTTCTACAGCCATTTCGATTGTTTTTTTTAATCCTTTATCTCCTCAATGACATTTTCCTGTCCTCTCTAAATTATTTATACTTATCTTGCATATCTAAAAAATCACTACTGAGCAGCTATTTAACCATCAAAATGCTTTGAAAATGTAATCTTATCTGATTCATCAATTTCTATCCAACTAGTACATTTTGTCCAACCATGTAAGCAAAATACTGTTAAACATTCTAGTTCCATGCATCTACCACAATATAATTTGGATAAACAATAGTAGATTCCATATTTTGCAACTGACCATTCCTACTCTGATTCCCCCTACTTCCAGCATATGACTTCTCAAAGCTGAGGTATAGGCAGTTACTTTACAACATGATGATAGTTTGAAACATTTATACAACAAAATTTTAATTTTCTGATTTTATGGTTTGTAACAAACGTAACGTCATTTATTTCCTTAACACATATTTGTTAGTAATTCAAATGTACAGCAGGTCCACATGAATTAGCAATAATGTTCTACATTAATTCACCAATCATCATTACTACACCAAAATACATCTTATTTTTAATAAACTTATAAGCCTAATCCTTAGAATTATGAAAAAAACCTGTCAAAAAATTGGTAACATCCATATTAAATATACAAAAGTATGGTTACCTACTTTTACTAATAAATCAAAGTACCATGGATTATCTCCAAACATTTTTAACTTTACATACCTGTAATCTTTAGTCAACTGATCTTGATTTTATGTCATCTACAACTCTCATGATATAATATTGAACACAAAAACTAGAAGAGCAGTGGAAGCTAAAAGGCCTAATATCCATGATATTCATGCTAGACTTTGGACTTCATGAAAAATACTTTAGTACATATAGTATGTAAAATGAGAAAGGAATCATGGCCATCCAGGGATGGAGTGGGGAGCAAGAGGGGGAACTGGCCCATCCCCCTGTAAAATGAGAAACATAATCCTTTCTTTATTCATTTAGCATATGTATATGGATTTTTTATTCAATTCACAATTTCACACTACTTTGCCCCCTGGAATAATTTATGATTTATGTGAAGGTTCGATACTTGCCTCAATCAGTATACTTCCTATGGTCTTAGAGTCATAGGTTTAGTCATATCAAACATAAACCTATACTATAAAGTGGATCAACAAACAGAAACTTATTTAAAATGTGGATAACTTTTTTTTCTATGCTACAAGACTGTTTACACATTTACAGTGATGAATATATGCTAAAAGAGAAATTATTGTATAACTAAATCAAAAAGTATGTTGTGTAGAATTGTGTTAAAAACTTCAAAAACGTTCATACAAAATTTTGTTTTCTTTTTTTTGTTAAAAACATTAGTTATTGCAAAAGATTATGTATATCATTATTTTCTTTTCATTTCCAGCTTTTGTGAAATTTTCTACATATACTTTATAAATCAAACAAGAAAAAGAAAGTGATGTACACCCTCAATTTCTAAGCCATATATTTAACTCTCTTATTCCCTTTTATTCTATTTACAAGTAAATTCAAATGAAAACCTTAGTTTTGTATGAATGAATGATGAGGGAAACATTGTAAAAATCAAGATCATTGTGTAATGCATGATACTATTTGTCATTTCAGAATAACACCCGAACATCTTTTCCTAATGCAACACTTGGTAGAAAAGCCTTGTTACACATCAGAACCTTTTGGATACAAACCAAAAGTGCAAAAGGTTGCTTTATATTCTACTTTATAACATCTCAGATGAAAGGTGTACTTCTAGATACACTCTAAAACCAAAACTGTAGTATGCATATTGCTCTACAAAACATTTGTATGATTATCAATATCAAGCTTGATGCAGAAATACCACTTTTATACTAGTGTCTTTACCACATGGATAATGAATATACCGTATTGGCCTAATTATAGGGCAATCTCGAATATAAAACAACCCTTTTCAAAAAAGCATGGGAAAGAAAAAAAATTGAGTTTCATAACATCCTTTCTTAGGTTCGCAAAAAAAATATTATAACAGAATAGCCTGCAGGTGGATTAGTTGCAAGAATTAGCAATGACCTTGAGCAAACATCTGGCACTTATGCATAGATGGGTGCTATTTGGACATTCAAGAATGGGACAGGCTAGAGTATAGGGAAGGGGCCTGTGGTCAGCCATGATTATAAGGCAACTACAAATTTTACAGCCTAATTATTAATAAAAAAACATCACCTTATAATTAAGCCAATACAGTACTTATCAACACATTTATACTCACTTGATAAAACTTCTAGCTCAGAGTTAATTTGTTGGAACTCTTCTTTTGGTTCTTTTTTCAAACCAATAACATCATGTTTTGTACAATCAGGAATTTCATCATCACTCTTGCTGAACTTGGAAATAATGCCATCCTGTGCTGAAAGATCAGGTTGCTCCATTTTTATTCTCACATCTGGGTTCTAAAATATTTACGACACATGTAAGAACCCAATAACAAATAACAACTAGTGTTGGCATTTAACTCTTTTTAATATATAGAATTAAAAACCTTCATAATATACTACAAAAGTTCAGTCTTAATTTTCTTTTCATATTTACAGAAAAGAAAAAAATAAGAAACTAGAGCAAAATTAAAGACAATCATTGAAATCATGGAAAATCTAAGGCACTTAATTGTCTGAATGCAATTCCTATTTCTCTACTATAACATTTCGTTAGAAACCAGAATTTGATGTGATGTGTATTTTAAAACTCTACCACAGTGGTTAGGTTTGCACTGAATATCCACCTAAAAATACATACATAAAAAATTTGGATGTGTGGTGCAGCACTTCTGTAAATCCTACTGCTTCCCTAGAAAAGGATTCAATTCATAGGAAAACAGTCCTTAGAAAACTTACTCCAACGTTAATAGCATTCCTGGTTGGTTTTAAAAAAAAGCAATGATCTGAACTCTACAATTTACATTTACATATATAGAAATTAAAGTCCTGAAACTATGATATGTTTGTCACTAGGTAGACTTTAATTATGAAATAAACTGAACTGAATTCTTGATCTATGACTACTCTGGGTGAGAATGAGAAGAATTAAACATTATGTAATGCAGGAAATGGGAGATAAAGTGTAGCATGTTGTTGATATACTCACTGTCAGACATTCTTCTAAAGAAATTTGTGCTGCTGACGATAAAGGAAAGAACAAGATTCAAATCTGTTAAAGTTGAAAACATCAACATGTCAATATAAATATACACAACAAACGGATATAATCAACTACAAAAGAAAACAGGCAAATAGTTACATGCATAATGTTGTAATTGCCAGAATGACAAAACAAACATGCAGAACCACTGAAGATGGATTGTATGAGATACAGATGACAGTAAACTGCACAATGTACATACCAAATCAAGGTTCTGATCAATTATTTCATTTAAGTAAATGTGGTAACACCAACATTAGAGAAGAAAGACAAACCTTTCCAAGCAAATATAAGCTATGGCATATCTTTCCACTCTAGAATAGAAAGAACAAGTCATCAGAGACAGTGAAAGAGTCAAACTAACAACATGAATGTCTGAAGGTTCCAGAGAGTAGAAAATAATGACAGACATAAAGGGAAACACAATCCCAGAGACACTACATGAGTATCATGATACAAAATAAGAGGCAAGGATTACTACAAACTGATGATAGGAAAGAAAACCAGGAGATACTTGTAAACCACATACACTATATACTTCTGAACCCTGGTACCTGTGAGCCAGGATAAAACTCTTGAAAACATTAAGACATTTCTAAACTGGTACAGATAGGTCATTCTATGAATACCCTATTAAAAAATAAATAAATAAGCTATAAAAAGAGAATGTTCAAATTACACAATATGCTAAACACAAAATAGAAAATATTAATTCTTTAAAAGACAATGGGCGTGATATGACTCCAGCACACAATGGTCAAACCTAAGTTTGGAGGCTTTGGTAAGAAGAGTACAAAACAGCATCAAAACCAGAATACGTATTGCTTTGTGCCCCACAAAATCAAATCATTACTGTAGCTCCAGTAAGAAGAGTGAACAATACTGTATGAAGAACAGTACCTAGAGGACTTAATACATTTAAATGTCAATTCAATACTGGTCCACTTTAATCGTTCATTTTAGAACAAATAATAATAATACTAATAATAATTATACAACAATAATAATACTTAAAACAGTCGAGTGATGTTATTCCTACCTGTCGTCTGACTAATGTTGCCAACAATTCAGCAACTTACACTGACCTTCTGGTTGTGACTGCAAACACTGTAAACAATCATGAAACACCAGGCAAATGTAGTCCAATAAAATAACATTACAACCAAAATACTACGCAAATGATGTTGCATATATAGCTATTTAACACACACAAACAAGTGTACACAAAGTTTAAATCTACAAATTACCTTAATTTTCACAGGGACTTCATAATTCCTCTCTTCTTGCTCTTCCTTTGTTACTTCAAATTCAAAACTGGAATGTAAAGATTCTTCTTTGAGGAAAGCAGACTCTTCTGTCCCTAAAAGTATAAATTAGTTTAATAGCAACAAATTTGAGTTTTAAATCACTACATTGTAATAAACTTTCATTCTCAAGTAATACTTTGACACACTAACCCAGTGTATTTGTATGTTGTATTAAATTTGGATTATCAAGGCGAGAATCAACAGTCTGCTGCAATAGAGGGCAGCACTTTACAGTCACCAAAAAGTATCTGGATAGTTAGACCTACACTTTCAAATGTATAATAGAAACTTCTGTCTTAAACAAATCTGATGTCCATATTGATTTCTTATCACAATCCACTAAGTTCAACAGTAACTGGTAGTTAAAGTTAGACAAGATTAGGTATTTCTATCATTAAACATTCTAGCTATTTATCAGTGGTTTTATTCTTTAATAAAATCTTAAAGTCTGATCTTATTCACATGAAACATTACACAAGTGTTTTCTTAAGAAGGTGTTTTTTTGCAGTTATACTTGACTTACGCTGCCACTAATCTTCAAGGACTGCTTTAATTTAAGTGGTTTTCAATTTTACCCTTATGTTAAAATGGATATATATCTACACATTTTTATCTACTTGCACATACATTGAAGTAAACATTTCAGAAATGTTTCATACATTAACATCATATATGTGTAAATATTTACTATGTCTTTATATGTATATATATGTTTTAGTTTTTATTTTGCTTCCAACAATATTATATTCACAGAAGAGCTTTTGAAGCTTGTAAACTATTATCTCCTTCATCAGCAAATCGACTTTCACAATGGCATTCTTCTTCATACATTTACATTTGTTCTTTAATCCTTTATCTTTCTCTTCTATAACATTTTTGTGTCTCCACTCAATTATTTATTCCAATCTTGCATATTTAGAAAAGCACAACTGAGAAGCCATTTCACAAGATAATTAGGCTTGAGAAAGAGATGATGGATTTACATAACATTTGTGTAGTCTTATTTGATTCATCAGTTTCCAGCCAATTAGCATATTTTATCTTACCAAGTAATATAAAATAATGTTGGACATTCCAGTTTTATGCCACTTCCACTAGAATCTGTAGATAAATAATAATACTAGACAGTGATTTTGTACTTGACAATTCCTACATCAACTCTGAAATACTGTTCTGAATGCACTGTTCAACTCCCTATATTTCAGCCAAGATGTTTGGTTGACAATTGACCTTTTCAATATCCATATAAATCCATACAGTATCAATAATATTCATATCAAGACTCCATTCAAACAAGGCCATGACTGTGAGCATTCCATGGGCTTCTTTACTTCCAGGTGCTGATTTAAAGACTAAGTATGCCTGGTCAGACACCACTTGCCATAGAGTGGGATCAAAAACATATCTAGCAAAAGGCCCCTGTAAAGTAAAATAAAAACGAATGGAGCAGTCTACATACCCACATAGGGAAGATGGAAAAGGGCAGCCAGGGACAAGGTAAGGTTATGGATCTGATGGGAAGAAAACACGAAAAAGATGACAAACATTCAGAGAAAGGGAAGAATACGCCATGCAAAGTGACCGGCAAATACAATCCATAAGGAGAATGGGAGAACAATCACAGAAAAAAGTAGGATTCCAACAAAGAAACAAACGGACTCTGGAACCACAGAAGGATGCAGTGCATGTCATATATCATCTAAGGGCTTTGATCGGGCAAAAGAGTCAGTCAGAATCAGAATGGTCCTAAAGGTGGGAGATGGAGGGAAGGAATGATGAGTGAAATCAGGATTATTCTCCCGAGCAGCCAAAGTCTTGGGCAAAAAGGAAAGTTCAAGAACTATAAACAAAACATAGTGAACCCGAATTGCAAACACTTTGGAAAGAAGGTGACCACATAACAACTATATGAGGAACAGGGATGACAAAGAAAAGTAACATAATGGCAAAGGTTCAAACGGAGGACAAGTAATGGCATGAGAGGTTCCAGTCCTGGAGAGAAGCAGGGCAGGGAGGATGAGAAATGAAGCATGAGTGAATTCACATTGACAGTACATGAGATTGGAACACAGAAGCAAATCTGGTAAACCAAAAGGTGGAAGACAAAAGTGCCCTATAACCTGTAAAAAAGGAAACTGATGGGTCCCAGTCATAAAGCCAAGTGAAAAAAGATGGCAATGAAGGAATGGTAGGAAAGGAATGATGATAACCTAGGAATATAGACCAACAGAATTAAGGATATTCACCTATGTTGGTAAACTGACAAAGAGGAAGGAAGAACTGGACAGAAACCAAGGAAGCAAAACAACTGGAAAGTTCCTCCCTTCAGAAGAGGGTCCAGACAAAAGCTATGCATGAAGACGAAGTGTGTGTATGGATGGATGATGCACACTGGAGTGTTGGAGGCGAAGACAGAGGAAGGGGAGGCAACACCAAAAGCTGCTGCAGAAATGGAAACTATATCAAAGCCAGCCAATACGATGCCACCAGCACAATACAACACAGAATGGTCTGAACTATTGATAGGACATGAGAAAGAAGATGAATAGGAGAATATGCATAAAGGTAACTACCTGTCCAATCCTGACTGAAAGCAGCCACTGCTCCCACCAATGAATGAGGAACAGGGGACCAAAAACAGGGAAGGTGAGGATTGAGATGAGAGGAAAAAGAGTCCAAATTGGGGACACTCCATAGCACGCACAATTTCTGAAAAATGAAAGGATCAAACTACTACCCCATCAGGATGGGATAACCAATCCACAACCAGATTCAGGGCACCCATAATAAAACATGTTAACATAATGATATTATAGCAGTGGGCCCAATATAGACAATCCAAAGTTTGAAAATAAAGGTCTTTCAACTTGGTGCCCCATGCCTGGTGACGTAAGACACTGCCATAAAATTTTCAGAGTGGATCACCACCACCTGGTCTCGAAGAGCCAGAAGGAGGGTAAGTACTGCCTAATGGACAGCAAAAAGTTCAAAGAGATTGATGTGGAGAATGAATTCAAAAATAGTTTCCCACCCCTAACGGAAAGAGAAGCATCTGTAAAAAAGTGACAATCTGAAGAGGAAATCCCTACAGTAATATTGGGGTGATCTAACCACTAGTAAAACTCAGACTGGAAGTAAGAGGAGCATCCAAGGGAACCCTAACAAAGCACCATTGGTTGATCAAAACCCACTGAAGATGGTGCACGTGAGCATGACCAAGAGGAATGAGGGATTCAATAAAAGCCCATGTCCCCAAAAGAAATAGAACCTCATATGCAGAAGGAAAGGGAGAATAGAGATGCCATGTACAAGACATTTCATATCTCTCAACTGAAGACTGGTCCCGATACAGAAATGAGGTGAGAAATACACCAAGAAGAGCCAGAAATTGAGTAATTGTGAGGAATGACTTCCCCACCTTGATAAGCCAACCCACCCAGGTATCTTCCCAAAAAAGAAACTGAGTATGTAGGGCAGAGTCAGTGTATGAGGAAGCTGGAAATAGCCAATCATCCACGTAATGGTGTGAATGAAGGCCCTGGGAATGAAGCAGTCGAGCAAAGATCCTGACCACTTGGCAGAACAAATAGGGAGCCAAGGAAAAGCTGATTGGAAAAGCTTGAAACTGAAAGATACACCCACAATGAACAAAACAAAGAAAATGTCTTGATGCCGGAGAGATGGGAATATGTAGATATGCATCCAACAAATCGAACTACATTATTCAAAACCAGGAGAGAAAAAGGCCTGGGTAAGACCTCTGTAATTACACACGACAGATAAACATATTCAGGATGGGGAAAAAAGGCTACCCAGAGTCACATCCACTCATACAGACACACTTAGCTACTAGTATGACAGATCATTCCCCACAAATCATAGCCATCACATCAGCGGCCAATAACTGTGGTACCGATCCCATAAACATAGTCAGTAAATCCGCTGTAGCAGTTACAGCAATGGTAGTCATGACCACCTGAAACTGTGAGTGCATAACTCACATAGTTGAAAATTTTAACAAACAATATAAAAGTGAGAGTAGATAATGAAAATAAATTGCAACTCCCCACAAAAAGTGGAAAATGACAATAATTGAAGTGGAAAAATACATGAAAGTAAAACTGCATGGATATAATAACTAAATCAGGAGCAAATACAAACACATCTGCACAATAAGACTGCCAATACAGAAGTGATTAACAAGTGCATGATTAGAGAGGGTGCTAGCTACGATATGGGTAGTGTTGCACTCCTTTTGGTGGAGAATTGCTGCATGATCATTTACATGTTGACATTCAGAAAAAAGTGGGAGTTACAAGGCTAGTGACAAGTAAACATTTTGCACTGATAGGGAGCTGTACAAGCCAATAAAGATTTTTGTGAGAGGAGGTAAAATATCATATTGGAAATAATTCTTATAAAATTAAGCTGTTTTTTTTTCCAATTTCTATTTAACTCTCTGTTTATGATCTCAGTCAGGTTCACTTACCTTGTAACCAAATCATTATCAAACTATATGTACTATAAATAAAAGTGACATAAAACCTGCGAACCTTCAGTTTCTAAACCATATATTTAAAAAACACATTTTTATATCTTAATTCTTTTCCTACTTTTTTTGAATGACAACCTTAATATAATATGAATGAACATTATAAAAATTCAGATCAATGTGTATGATCCATGATGTTTATCTGTCATTTCAGAATATATCACACAAAAATCTTTTCCTAGTGCAGCACTTAGTAGAACAGACTAATTACACCTTGAACTAATTTAGATACAAAACCAAAGTTCAGAAATGAGAGAGTATATTCTACTTACTGTTATACACATGTGTGTACCACATGGTAAATGAATATACCGTATTTTTCGGAATATAAGACGCACCCTTATTTTGAATACAAAGCTTTAGGGGTAAAAAAAGCTACAGTTGCA